TCTCTCCCTATGCCTCCCACCCGAAGTTTCTCAAATCTTTCTGGCCCTGTTCCCCAGTTCCAACACTCACCAGGTATTCCTTTATTTTGCCATCTCGTTCCCCTCACTCCCTGCTACCCTAAACACACCCGATGGCCGAAGGCAACAAGGAATGTCATCTAAACCAAACCTTCTACGGCCCTTCCATTCCTCCCACTCAAACCCACGTCCGTTTATCTCCCACTGATCGGACTAGCACAAAATTCAACGCCTACACCATGTTCTGTATCTCTTTCAAGATTATAACTATAATCCTCATCTTTCTTTGCGTCATCGTTCTGACTCTCTGGCTTATCTTTCAGCCACAAAGCCTCAAGGCTTACGCCGATAATGCCACTCTATCAGTCTTCAATCTCTCTTCACCCGGCAACGGCAGTCTCAACTACAAACTCTCTTTCATGCTCAGCTTACGAAATCCAAACCGCAAATACAGCTTCTACTACGAGCGACTAAATACCGTAGCGTTTTATGATGGATACCAGTTCGCTCACGCGGGCTCGCTTCGGAATTATCAAGGAAGAAACAGTTGGATGTCGTTGAATGTGAGCTTAGAGGGTCGGAGTACGGTATCAACCGACTCGGTGAGGCAAGGTTTTGAGCGGGAGAAAGGAGAAGGTTTCTTTCATGTGAGGGTGAAGATTTATGCCACGGTTCGGCTAAAAATGTTCATGATAAAGAGCGAGCAGTTCAAGCCGGACTTGGATTGCAACCTAAGGCTTCCCGTGCCGTCAAATGATACTTCTCTGGCAGCAGGTTTCTATAGAACCGAATGTGAAGCGAACCATTTCTCATAGTCAATTGCTGTGGCAAACGTTTGACTTCCTTTTTTTTTATTATTGTTAGTAATGATTCTCTTTTCTATGTTTTTCTGGCAATTATATTCGTTTCACGAAAGGTCATGCAAACAGAATTAGGATTTTAACAATTGCTGTGTATTGAATTCGATCTGTTTACGCTAATAATTTTGATAATAATATTAAGCTTCTCACACGAGCTAAAGATAAAGCAATAGGGACAATAATGTAAGTCTTTTGGCATCATCTAGGATTATTTAAGATGGTGTTCTAAATCTAACAAACACTCTTCAGCATATTGAGGTGGTCGCTTTTCTCGCTCAAATAAGAAAAAAAAAA